GAACGCAAAAAGACAGAAAAAAAAATCGCGAAAGAAATATTACTGGCTTGCTCTTCTGATAGTACCTCTCCATACGTGCTACCTCTATACAATCACTCTCAAGACAGATACGTCAAATTCTGCTCGCTGTTATTGCCACTGCTTCTCTGTGCGAAACTGCAAACAGGAGGGAGTTCTTTCCTCGCACAAAATTTAGTTTATTCTCAACCAGCTCAGGCGATAACAGGGACTTCCGTGGCCGTTCGCTACAATTTGTTTTCTCGGTCGTTCCACACGTTTCACTGAGTCGCACAGCGAGGACCCACTTCCCCGCCACCCTTTCCAGGACGGAAACGCCAGTCAACTTGGGAGAACAATTGATCAGCGACGACCTCGAGAACAAAACGAGAACGTGCTGCTCGAGCTCTATTTGGCGAAGCCGTTGTAACGTGATTAGGCACTGGGGGACTCACCAACGGCGGCGATGCTTGGTGCAGCAAGCGAAGTTCTGACATTTGGTGGTTCGTAATCATGCGACATATTCTTGCGTACTTCGCTTGTACACTGCTCATGTCCGGAGAAACGTGAGTCTCTTACTCTTCGTATAACGCCCATCCAGCACTCTCGTTTCCAAGCGCTTGACACAAGTGTATGCGTTCTGAATGAACGACGGCTATTGAATGTCTGGGCTGCCTAGTAGTAGAGATAGCCTATGAGATTCTATCGCTAATGGAAAAATCTTGATCATCGTGTTGCGTCACCCGTGGTGTACGAAACCTTGCTATTCTCGGCGACCGACCCCGAGATCTCAGGTCAGATCCAGGCCGTGGCGGTCGCCATCTTTCAATGGAGGTGACGTAGTTGAGGCGCGTGTAGTGTGCGATGTCAGTTCACGTTGAAGAACAACAGGTGGACGAAATTTGAGAAGACCTTCGTATACTGCGTGGCTCACGTCGTGGTTTCGGGGCGTAAACACCAGTTATTATTATATTATTATTATTATTATTATTATTATTATTATTATAACACGTCGCGTTATAATAGACAGCAATCGTTGCTTCAAGACAGGCCTTACTGCAGCCTTCAAGAAGACGTCGCCATAATCAGCCTTATGGGAAGCTTAAGCCTCATTTAACATCAGAATTGACTTTCCTTGTCTAAGCTGAAGTTTCGATCACGTCATTTTCAGAGGCTGATGACGCACCTTCGCAGTGGCGTAGCCAGGGTTAGCACACCGAACCCGTGCCCCCCCCCCCCCAATTTTTTTGCCATGGCATTCAGAGCGAAAAGTGGCCATTTCAAAGAAGTGCCTTCCCTTTCCCCCTCCGCCCGAAAAAAAAAATTCTGCCGATGCCCCTGCACCTTCGGTTTTCATGAACTTGTATTGAGCTAAATCTTCTACTTTTCTGTCATTGCATGGCCCTGTGGACGAGGCTGCCAAATACTTTATCGTCTTTGTCGACCTCCGTTCACAATTCACGGCTGTTCCGTATGCGGAAGCTGGTACGTGCTCCCTATACAAGAGAGGGATGGTATAAATATTAGACAAAGCTAAAACTTAAATAATGCTTTAACTGAAGCCGCGGATGCACTGTATAATATTCATCCTAATATAACACGAAATGATACATACATGACAGGGTACAAAAAAAAGAGAAAAGTGGCCAGAAATACGAATAACCATGACGCCACCGTCGCAATTTAAACCATTGTGACTTGTTTTGTTCAAGCGCTGAAGGGTAATGAGGTCGAAGATAAGAAATTGAAGGACAAAAGACGTTGCTTTACTGATTTGTTGCGACTGAAGTATTAAAGTAAGTCATGGAAAAAATTACCGAGACTTGCAAGACCCTTACGACAGGTTTTCGAAAAATTTCCCCCTCTTGGTGCTTGCAAAGGACACTATAAAGAGTGAAACGATTTTTCGTGTATTAGTAAAGTACCGTTTCACAATCCTGGAAACGCCATTTTAACCACGACCCGACGCTTGGAAAGTGAGAAATCGCGTGAAAAGAAAATGGGGTGGAGACGCCACTTTGAGATTCCCGCACTATACACCATGACGTCATAGAACTTGAAGGCGCCTACTGGGTCTTACTTGTGTAAAACATACCGTACCAACAAGCTCGCCTTGCAACTTTCGTGAACTGTGATGGTTGAAAAAACATCCTTATTTGATGCAGTGATTTCATTTCGCGGGAGCTCTATAACTTCATCTTTAGGTGCGAAGCTCCTTATAGAGGCACCCGTCGTCCCTCGTAGCCGTTGTAGTGTGTAACAAGTATAACATTTTGATCTACAAGGTGGTGCCGGTGAGAGATTTCTTCTGTGCGCTGTTGAACAATAAAAAATAGTGCTCAATGTGCAGGCCCATGGCTGCTAATTGGGAATGAAAGACAGGAGAATACTGCTTTTAGTTAACGCGCACGCTGCGATCCCATTTAGCAGCCATTGGCATGTACATTGAGCACTATCTGACAAGAAAGGGTTGCTACGTGACACTCGCTGGGCGTAACCTCCTAGGTTTTAGAAAGGTTTAGCGAACGTTGGGCCGGAGTGCCATGAATACAGTGAACTAGTATATACGATGAACTCGAGGTGGTTAAAGGTGCGAAATAGACCCGAAGCACAAGCTCTAAAAAAGTGTGCGTGTGCCACTTCTTGTTTAGTCCTTGGAATGTCCGCTGGATGGCGGTGCTTCTATATGGGGAATATCAAGGGGAATTATTTTTGGGGGAAGATTTTATGGGGAATATTATTTGGATATCAAGGGAGCGTACGATAGCATGGTTCAAGAGGAATTGTGGGGAATACTGGACACACTAGGTGTAGAACATGTAGTCACTAATCTTTTAAAGGATATCTATAAAGGTAACAAGGTAGTTATAAAGTGGGAAAAACAGGTATCCAAGCCTGCAGAGGTAAAACGAGGGCTTAGCAGAGGGTATCCCTTGTCACCCTTATTATTCATGATGTACCTACAAGAATTAGAGGCCAAATTAGAGGGAAGTGGACTGGGCTTCAACCTCTCTTTAGTCAAACAAGGAAAACTCATTGATCAGGCACTACCAGCATTAATGAACGCAGATGATATAGTGCTAATGGCCAACAACAAGGAAATTTGCAGAGATTGATGGACATCTGCGGTAATGAGGGAGATAGGTTAGATTTTAGATTCAGTAAGGAAAAATCAGCAGTCATGATTTTCAATGACAACGAAGGTAGTGAGCTTAGAATACAGGATGTCACGCTAGAGATAACAGATAAATACAAATATCTGGGCGTATGGATAAGCAATGGGACCGAGTACCTGAGGGAACACGAAATATACGTGACGACTAAAGGTAACAGGAATGCAGCAGTGATGAAAAATAGAGCACTGTGGAATTTCAATAGGTATGATGTTGTGAGAGGAATATGAAAAGGGGTCATGGTTCCTGGGCTGACGTTCGGCAATGCATGAGATCAGAAGTTCAAGCAAGATTAGAAATTAAGCAACGTGGAATAGGTAGGCTTGGTTTAGGAGCTCACGGGAATACACCAAATCAGGGAGTACAAGGTGATATGGAATGGACATCATTTGAGGGCGGGGAAGCTAGCAGCAAGATAAAATTTGAGAAGCGATTGAGAGAAATGGGGGAGGAGCGTTGGGCTAGGAAGGTTTTCAGCTACTTGTACATGAAGAATGTCGATACAAAATGGAGGAAGCGAACCAGGAAATTGATTGGTAAATACTTTTAAAACAGCAGGTGGCCAAAGCAAAAAGAACTATCGGATAAGAAGAAAGTGAAGGAAACGGAGACTGACATGTGGAGAATGGGCATGATTAAGAAGTCCGCACTAGAGATCTATCGAACTTTTAAGCAGGAGATTGCCAAGGAAAGGATCTATGATAATACTCGGGGTTGTTCTCTACTGTTTGAGGCCTGGACGGGAGTACTGCGAACCAAGACATATCGGGCCAAATACGAAGGGGTAGACACAGTATGCAGTGCGTGTGGAGAGGAAGAAGAAACTGCCGAACACTTGATAATGTTCTGTAAAGGGCTTCACCCTATAGTTCAGGATGATGGCACAGAGTTTTTCAAAGCACTGGGGTTTAGGGACCGGGAGGGCAAAATAGACTTTAAGCGGGTAGACTTAACTAGAAGGAGGTTATCTGATTGGTGGCTAAAGTCAAGGCATGAGTGAAAATTAAACCCTTCACTGCAAAGTACGAATCCTCAAACTCACTTTTTAAAGAAAAAAATAAATCTAGTTTTGGTTCATTAAGTACCTGAGTACCTGAGGCTTGGTGGCGCTAGCCACCGCCCGATCTAAAGGGTACAGCCATATCCATCCATCCATCTATCGAATATATGATGAAAAGATGCGAAATGGTGGTACTTGGAGTGTTGAATAGATGGACGAACGAGCACACAGATGCATGGATGGACGCATGAACGGACGCAGGGGCGGATGCATGGACGAACGCAGGGACGGACGCACGAATAGACGCATGCACGGACGGGCAGATGGACGCATGGACGGTCACACAGACGGACGCATGGACGGATGGAAGCAAGAACGAATGGACGGATGAATGATTCGCCCCATCTCCATCATTCACTCCGTGGATATGCGGCCAATTTTTTTTTTACACATTGATCATGGAAGCTTTGGCTTTCAGAGCATCAGCTCACTGACTCAAATTCAGCAGCTTCACGAATTAACTTCTAAGCGATGCTTTCATTTTAAGATGTATTTAAGTTTTGAGCATTATATTTCTGCCGCTGGTCGTTGTTTCTCAAAAACACTAAAAGAATATTTCAATAGTCTCAGCGGCCATACTACAACTACTGCAGGGCTTCTTTTGTGATCACTATGGTTAGCCATTGTAAAGATTGCTTCAATCACTGCCCCTTTCCTGGAGGTTAACGAAGTCTTTAGTTATTCGCGAAATAACCCAAAACAAATATTGCTGGTCTTGATTATAATCGGGTGAATTCATACATTTTCCTCGCTACTCTTGTTCTTTTCAGCGCACATGCAGTTCCACACATTCCGAGACCAGGCTCAGTTTCCTACGATGCTTTGAACCTTCGCCAGCTGCCGGACCTCGACGAATTGTTCGATGGTTACGACAAGCGGGCTTGGCCCACATATGGCACAGGTGAAAGAGGAATATCTCCTTCGGTTCTCCTACCCACCGCTGCGATCTAGAGACTATGGTGCTTGACTGCAGGCCCGAAGGTCGTGGGATCGCATCCCGACCACGGCGGCAAAATGCTAGAAGCCCGTGTGCTTAGATCTATGAGAGAGAAAGAATGATAGCAGAGCTGGAGAAGCTTGCCTCGTTTCTCATCTAACATGCTACTCCAGGTAGCTGGTGATTACTATGATATATACAGTGATAAAGACATAAGACATACAGTCACAGACACGCACTGCACTATTCACGCTCTGACGTTTTGTTAAGGCCGGTGACCTGTAAGAATGTCAGCAGCGCTTTTGTGGCGTGTAAAGAATTCGAGGTGTTCCGCCATAAGCCTAGAATATCTGTCAACTCCAAGCACTTTAAACAATACCTAGGCGGTCGAAATTTCTGAAGCTACTGCACACTCATAATCGGCATCTCTCATAATGATATCGTTCTTCTGGGACCTGAAACCTCTATAGAATTACTATTATAATTCTCTTTTGCGTGACGCGATGCACGAAGTGTGTACGTTCAAGTGTGATTAGATCATGAAAGTACGTAAGGGAAGAAGAGATAGAGAGAGAAAGCAATTGTCCATTTTGTGACTGCGTGATCGAGCGAATTCACATGTGTCCCAGTGCTTACAGACGTGCAGTGCTTTCTTAAGCATGCACGCGAAACGGCTTAATGTCGCAATTCTGAGAGAACTTATTATGATTAATAATTTACACATATTTCTGTTTGGTGGGATAGCGTTGGTAGGGAGCGGAGCCTATATTGCTTTTTTTTGCTAGTAACTGTGTGTAAGTGTGCGTTTATAATCAGCCCAAGTATTGCGCTTCGCAGCGAGCCTGCATGAGGTCACCCGATTTTTCACACCCTTTATGCAACAGCACTTTTCCCAATCAAATTATCCGCAATCCACAAATAGCATATATTTTTTTCTCACAGGAGAGCCTACCAAAGTCGTAGTGGACATGCACATCAACACCCTAGGACCCATGAATGCGGAGGACATGGTGAGTCAACAGCTGTTTAGCCCATTAGCTACTGTTATCACTTATTCTGATGAAGTACTTTCTCTGCTTTTTATGCGCACATCCCGCTAAGCCTTGAAAAGTGTGTGACAATGTTTCTCAAATCACCTTGTTACATACAGACAAAGTATATCGGGTGTCGGGCAGTAGAAGAACAGCTATTTGGGCTATAGTTGGCTGAATAACATTTTATGAGATGTTGCAGCGCAAGAAGTAAAGTGCTGAAAGAAAAGCGTACGCCATAAGGAAATGAACGGAAGGCAAAGAGGGGCAACACGAGCGCAGCACTCGTGTTGTACTGTACTGGTATTGTTGCACTGAAAGACTGCATCTTTTCTTTTTGCCATTCACACCGGTATTTCAGGATTACGAGATGGACATATTTTTCCGGCAAGCCTGGCGGGACCCGAGGATATCACTGCGGCGTTTCGGCCACATGGATAACTTGACGGTGAACGGTGGTGCCCTGTTGGCTCGTATGTGGAAGCCCGACTTGTACTTCGTGAACGCCGAGGAGGTCCGCACGCACTCCGTCACCATGCCCAACCAGCTGCTCAGGCTGTCGCCAGACGGGGACGTGCTCATCAGCATCCGGTGCGCTATGTGCCTCTCTGAAGCGTGCTTAAGCTCATACGGCCCTTAACAAACCGCTGAGCGCCAGGACGCTCGTGGTGGGAGAAATGGATTAGGAGATAACTATTAAAGACGACGTGCCTTAGCTTCACGCACTTATAAAGCATCATGTTATTGCGCGAAAAGCTCACCAATGGATAATGGAAAGATTCAGGGTTCTTCCGTCACATTGGTTCCGCAGTTCAATTCCAAGACCTAGTAGTCAAGTCCGTAGAAAGATCTTGCTTACCTGGTAGTGGCGGGCTAGTTGGTCACACGTGGTGTTGAGAACGGCACCACATTTGTTTTGAGGAAAACACGAGCAAACAAACAATAACACATAAAGCTCTGTGTTGTGGGTATCATTGTTTTTTTTTCTTGTTTCGCTAAACTTTTGTCGCAGAGAGATCTTCGTTGGTTAGCGAGCCGTTGCGCCACCTGTGAGCAATGACAGAAATCAGACTGAACTGTTGTGGTTCTCGCCATTATAACTACCGCGGCAATAACTACGACAAGGACTTTCAAAAAAGTTCAAAAAGTTATGTGGCCGCAGTATCACCTGTGAGAAGTAAACCAACAACATCATACCCTCGGCTCTCTTTTTCATGCTGGTAGTTTCTCGCAAAAAAAAAAAAAAAAAAAAATGTTAGTTCGTTTTTCTGTCATTACGAGAAGGCCCAGAAACTATAGTAACTCAGAAGTACTGCGCGGTCCAGGAGAGCATTCATTCCTATGAATGATCCTTTTCATATTGTCTATTTGATCATCGCGCAGTCTGCTGGCATCATGTGACCTATTTACAAGAGTACGCTATATAGTAAGATGCGCTTATCAAGAGTAGAAAACCTCTTCACATTCCACACAGAGCTCTATACGCAAGGAAGCCGCAACTTGGTTGTGTGGCAATGTTTTGATTTATTTATTGCGTTCTCTAAATGAGTGTAACGTTTATATTTAACATTTACTGTGAAGCTCACCCTTGCTCGAATGAAAGTTGGAACAATTGCAATAATAGTTCAATAGTTCAATACTTATTCAATATGACGTTTTTGTTTCTGATTAGACAAAAGTTTAATTACACTATGTACAAAAAACAATAGCCTTGTGCTTAGAAATATATATTTTTACAGACATCAATAACATTTCGACAGATCATTTTCATGTTTGACATAAGTTAACGACCATGACAAAACATACTTCATTTTCATGAACGTGGATATGAGACGACGTGGAAGGAACATGCACATTCGATGTTTCACACATAAACACTCCAATATGTGTCACACTAAGACGGGTACATATATACATTTATTTATTTATTTATTTATTTATTACAAGTACCTACATCGCCCATTGGGCATTGTTGTAGGGGGGTTACAGTAGAAAATAGAATATTGATTGATTTGTGGGGTTTTAACGTCCCAAAACCACCATATGATTATGAGAGACGCCGTAGTGGAGGGCTCCGGAAATTTTGACCACCTGGGGTTCTTTAACGTGCGCCCAAATCTGAGCACACGGGCCTACAACATTTCCGCCTCCATCGGAAATGCAGCCGCCGCAGCCGGGAATCGAACCCGCGACCTGCGGGTCAGCAGCCGAGTACCTTAGCCACTAGACCACCGCGGCGGGGCTAGAAAATAGAATACAAAACAGCAAAATTAAAGGCAAATAAATCGTGCCTTACAGTATACAGGAGAAATCAACACTTGTAGTACAGCGTTAGAACAAAAGTACAAAACACAGGATTATACAACGAAAGCAGTAATTATACTTATAAAAATCAACAACCAAGAGAAGTACAAAACCAACGTTAAGTATATGGGTTATTTCAGCAGCTCAAAATGCTGTTTCAATGGCTGTTAGGAAATTAGAATCAGAGAATATTGGTATTTATAGCGCATTCCACTCACTAATAGAATTTGGAAAGAAAGAGTATTTAAAGACATTCAATCGACAGGTATATTCTCTAATTTTATATAAGTGATCTTTCCGTTCGGACATATAACTAGGCGTCTTTAAATACCGCTCTTTATTTAGCCCAGTCTTACCGTGATATATATTATAGAGAAATTTAAGTCTTTGAACTTTCCGTCATTGATTGATTTAGCGAACATTGATTTAGCCTTGAAGTTGCACTTCTTGTATGGCTACGTTGATCATTGTGCTAAGACGAGTATCCGTGATTTAACCGAGCTACACTGACGCAATGTGTGTGCCTTTTTGGCTTTCGATTAGAGAGTGTTACTTGGCCTCCTCTAATGTTACGCACGTGGTAGCAAGTAACTAATTTTTAGCTCATGCTTACATACTTTCATCGTTATTAGAAAGTGGTAGCAACATCTTGCGGAGTAACAATTTTCGCGCGAGTTCTTTATAAAAGTTAATTGATTCACTCATCGCATTTTTCACGGGTATGAATTTCTGACGCTGCGCAGGTTGAGTTTGAGGCTTTCCTGTTTGATGTACTTCTACTATTTTCCATTCGACAAGCAGAGGTGCTTCGCCAAACTTCGTCCATGTAAGTCAGTCTATGTTCACTTCACCACTTCCTTTTTATTTTATTCAACGAGCATTTCTGCGTTATTTTGCTGCTTCTCTCGACAAACGCAAGTTTAACTTTTCGCTGGCAGATATCAACACACTCAGCCAAGTGGTGTTCATATGGCGAGAAGACCATCCTGTACACTTGGATCGACCATTTCACATGCAGGACTTCAACCTCATAGACATGTCGTACGAGAACTACACCATTGAGCTCGAAAAAGGTACGTGTTTTGGCAGCGACAAGCTTCTTGCTTTTCTATGAGCTGCTTTTTCTTTTCTTTTTCGTTATTAAAATGCAGAAAACGAGCTTATCGAGTCGTATTCATCCTAGAATCTCATTGAAAGTTATCTCTGTATACAATACAATGTCTTTCAAGGACCCTTTACCTTAACATTCTGTTACAAAGAGGGAAATTTAAGGGCTAGTTAATTTTTTTCTTTCTGAAACAGAACGTCAATCATAACTAACCACAATCAACGGAAGGAAAGCACCGAAAATTTATTTGCAGTAATTATTATATAAATGTGAAAGAGTTAAAGGCAAAAAAAAAAAGACTTTTCGCTAGCAGGGATCGAATCAGTACGCACCGAATAACATTGAGTAATGGCGGTTGGTATTCTCCAGTAATTTTTACCGAGTGTGTCTGTGGACTTAAACGGGTGTCTTTCATGAATTGATTGTCTTTTAGTTTTAAATAGAATTCCATGTGAAGGTATAAGTAATTTCTATTCTCTTTTCCCTCTCTCTCTCTGTAATATTCTTATTCCCCTTTCCAAGGGTAGCAAACCGAAAATGTGCCTGGTTAACCTCCCTGCCTTGCTTCTTGTTCTTTCTTCCTTCTTTCTCCCCAGTGTATCCAACTACCGTCCTTACTTGCATCCAAGTAGCCCCGATTAGAACAGCTTTATGCTGGCTTTTGAAAGCTAAGTTACGGCTATAGAGACGACTATGCTTGCCAATAATGTTGGCTGAAGGGGCTTATGCTGGATATATATTAGCAAATGTTGGTAAGAGGTGCCATATTTCGGTTAACCAATGGCCAGTGAAGGTTGGTGCAGAGCAAATTACGTTAAACGTTGGTGAGCGCTGGCTATAGCCTGTGATAACAGCAGTGCAGCAACGTTAAACACGCGGGATGATGCTATCCCATGCGCCCTAAGAGCGAAGTAAATGGGCTAGCCCATTTGATCTTCGCATCAGCCTTGTTCATCGCTTCCACTCGCATGCGTTTACCCGCGGGTACGTCATACGATGGACCAGGTATACTATGAATTCGGACGTTATTAAAAAAATTGTGGTGGCGGCAACACCTACGGCGAAGTGACCACGTGACTGCTATCGCAATGACATCTTTCCAGTCATTCGGGTATAATGTACTTTTTACCTTGTGCATCTTTCCGACGAATGCGCATAATCACCAGACAAAAAATATTGTGACGGGGCGAGCTCTAGGCTTATAGGATAGCGTCCACCGAGAATCGGCTAGCCGAACAAGATGGCTGAGTTGCCTCTCGCGCAAGCGCCTAACGCACAGGCGTCGTCTTCATCTTCGCAAAGTGCCACGCTTGCTCCTGTCGATGATGCACCGTAACATCACTCCCCTGCGATGGAAGCGCCGTCACGGCGCTTGGTACGGTGGCGACGAACTAGCAGGGTGATACGGTTTGAGTCTGGAAACGTGTACAACGTCCGTCTAGAGTGAGGGGGGTCGAAGGCATTGTTTAGGGGTGTGATCTCGTAGCTCACGTCACTGAGTTGTAAAACTTTGTAGGGGCCATGGTAGTGTGGTATTAGCTTCTCTGATAATGCCGACTTGGCGGTTTGGTGACCAAAGAAGTACCAGAGACCCCGGCGAGAAGTGCACGCTTTGGTGGCGACTGTCATAGCGGTCTTTTTGGGTGCGCTTGCGACAAGTGCAGCCGATAACGGGCAAGCTGACGGGCTGCATGGGCTCGAGAAACGACATCGCTGGCGTACTCAGTAGACAAGGGGGCAGCCGAAGGAAGGAGCGTGCCAAATGGTAATGCTGGATGTCGGCCAATACAGCAAATAAAACGGCGAATAACTAGCTGTGTCGTGCCGTGAAGAGTTGTACGCAAACGTGACAAAGGGGAGTGCTTTGTCCCACTCCCGGTGATCTGGTGAAACGTACATTGACAGCATCTATACGTCAGCGTTCGGTTCAGACGGTCGGTCAATCCATTTGTCTGTGGATGATAAGCGGTGGTAAGCTTGTGCTCAGTGGAGCAGGCGCGGAGAATGTCATCCACAACACGTGAAAGGAAGTACCTTCCTCGATCAGTAAGCAGCTGCCGCGGAGCGGATTCAATGTGAATTAGCGACATATGAGAGAAGAGGACTGCCATTACAACGAATATGTTATTTTTGTTTTTGGATGGACATTGCTTCGAATATCACACTGCCACTATCCTTCCTCAAGTTTTGTTATCACCGCGTTACACTGTAGTTCTCAGCGCAGACCGCGCCTACAGTTTTAAAGAAGCTTCAAGGCTGTCGTAGATCATTTTCATAAGACTACGCCCACACCGCGAACGTTACAGATTATTCTGGAACCAACATGGCCACTTGCGATAACGCTGGAATATTCGACAGTGCATGTATAAATGCCGACGCGCAGTCGTCGTTTGCCAGTTGATCAACGGCCAATGGTTTATTCGCCTGCTGTCAGTGTCAGTGTTCATCGCTGTAATCTGACAATCAGTTTTCCGGCCGAAAGTTCGGCCCAAATAAACAGTTTCTATTTAGACAAACTGTTCCTTCCTTCGTCAGTGGCATGACCCCATGACAATACTGTGTGCATGTGCACAAGTAGAACTTGCAGTTTTTGGCAGAAGGTTGTCCTGATGGAATCTCATGGTGTTGCTGCGGGTCTATTGCGTGTTTCTGAATTCAACGGCAACCTATTCACTACCTCCCTGTCTTTCCTCCCTTTTTCCTACTTATTCTCTTCACTACCCTTAATGGTACTTGCCACTGGAGTGAAATTAGAGTCATATTTAAACAACAATCTCTTACTGGTGTACTAATCAGGGCCATATTTTAACAATATATTTGAGCACATTAGGTGCTTAAACTTCACACGCACACGTCGCTTGTGATATAAGTAAAAGCACTGATGAGATGCCTGATCCCTGTGAAGAGCCGACTGCTAGCTTGTGAAGGACGAAGGTCAATTTAGAGAATGAAAACACATTTTTATGTATTTTCTTTTTTTTCAGGGTCTTTTTCGTGCCTCCAGGTTACCTTCCTACTAGAACGGCAGCAAGGATTCCACATGATCCAGACGTATTTGCCAATCTACATACTGGTGTTTCGTTTCTTGGCTTTCTCAGTGGATCAGGCCGGACTTTATTCCCTCCCAGGTTTGTAGCTCATACAACAATAGCACGTACAACGATACGGTAGTCCATTCCGCGACTGAACTCCTGGAGGTCGAGTCTAACCACGCAAGTGGTCACTTAAAAAAAAGTGACAGCTTCTCCTCAAGGGTGAAGCAATGAATGCGATAGCAAGGAATTGTAATGTCAGAAGAAGAACGGCAAGCAGCTGGGAAATTACTGCGCGCTGCTCAGGCACTCAGAATACGGCACCAAAAGAACGCTTAGGAATATACACATGATGAACGTGAACTGTCCCAGTTGTTACTTCCTCTCGGTCCTACTTTGGCTTTTGTTGCCAGTAATTCGCACCTTTTGCAAACACAGTTTTTCAGTGGCCAAAGTGACCTTCGTGTGGTCTATAGATTGAGCTCGAAGATTACAGTGAAAGCACAATAGGTACAAAACTCTTTATTAAGAAGTAAGCGCGTGTGCATGGGCGTCAACGCCACGTATGACGTATGTCAAAATACAAGTCGTAGGCGCTTATCTCAATTCAAGTGAAGCAAGACAGCTTGTGGCATCGAACCAGCAACCTCTCGCACCGCAGCGCGTGGCGCTAACAACTACGCCAAGATGCGCATGTAGCCAAGAGCGCTAACGGCAAGCCATTTATATACACCATATACCATTTGGTGGTCCTCAAAGCTCCCCAGCTTCGGCGTGTGTTGGTCATCAGTAGCGAGATGGTACGACGAGCGAGCGCTGGGCCGCTCTCCAGGTTGTCGCCTCTCGCGTTTCGGAGAGCGCTGCTTCTACGGATCGTGATCTCTTCAGCATGCGCGCTTATCAGTTTTCTGATTCGGGAGAGGACGAACGTCACTTCGCTCGCTGCCGCGGCGGCATTCACGAATGGAGCACGTTGCTAACACACGAAGAAGCAGGAGTTGTGGCAGTAGTTCGCGCTTATCTTGCGTATACTTGTGTGTTCATTCTGTGCGCTTTTTTTTCTGTTTATACCATGGTGCAAGAATACTTTAGGTGAGCGAACGGCGCGAAACGAGCACTTGGCGGAGAGGGACCGATTATGTTCTCGTTGACGGCGTGCCGATAGATGGCTCGCCGGACTGAGCACCATGGCGGGCTGCTGGCAGATTCCGCAAAGCACATCCGGCACGTGAGCAACGGTTTCCAAATCTGAGAAAACCGCGTAATCGCGTGATATCAACCACGTGACACGCATAGAGCGGTCGCGCAAAAGAGGGGGTGATACGGAAGGAGGTTGACGGTGCGGCGAGGGTGTTATAGCGACGATAAATGAGCACCACTACTTTGCTACATCACGGGGCTTTCCTACACCGAGAAGGGGGGGGGGGGGGAGTTGGAGCCAAGGCAAAGTTTGTAGCGCCATCTCCCGGGCTCCTAGCGAAGCAGAACATTATCGGTCAGTGGATAGTCCCGGCGTTCGCTCACCTAAAGTATTCTTGCACCGTGGTTTATACAGAGCGCTTTAAGTGTCGAGCTGCGACAGTTGTTAGTCCATGCCCGTCCTGTGTATGCTTACTTCGTACGTGCTTTCTACTTGAAGGGCGGGCTGCAAGATTCGGGCTAACGCTGCTTGCCGTTCTTCGCGTGACTTCGCAATTTGTGGCTGTAGCATTCATTCCTTCGCCCTTGTGGCGAAGCAATGTCCACCGAACGCTCAACTACCTCTGTGAAGACACGTTTAACTTTCGTGTTTTACCTATTGCTAAAAAGAGAAATCAGCCACATTTGTTTTTTTTTTCTTCCCAGTCTGACTGGCCTACACCTTTTCTCTTGACCTCGCGCGAGAGGCACGCATGGCGCTCTCACAACAAGCGTGAGCAGGTACCAGGCATTGCAGACGCTAACGCAGCGGCTCACTGGCTCTCGTGGCGTAAAACTTCATGGGACACTCTCACTTTCGCTCCCTCTCGTCATCAGCTATATCAGCGAACTGATTTTCCGTAGGACTAAACAGGTCATTCAGGCTTCGGTAGCATTTGCTAAAAAGAAAAAAAAAAGCCCTTTCATACATGTTGCGAAATACCTAATGTAGAAAGTGATGTGAGTTCTAGAAACCACGCATCACGCGTGCATACTGTCACCATATGTGTTTCCTGCGTTTTTCTGCAGTTTCTTGCAAAACAACCACATATTCCTCTCGGGTAGCCCTGACTTGCAATGTACATGACTCTTTTAAAAGAGTAACGTAACTCTCTAGGGGGTAACAAGAATCTCAAAAGATTGCATAATTACCTCGAAAGAAAGTTCACGTGATTAGTTATGGAGTCATATACATAGCAAACCAGTACTCTCAAAAGGGAATCAAAGGACTGCTTTTTTTTTTACTAGAAGTAGACGTTCCGTTATCAGTTGACTTTCAAGCTTTCAAGCTTTCTCAGGAGTGAATCTCAATCTTTAGCTCAGGGCGCATCGCTCCTGCACTTCTGCTAACGCATGTTTAAGCTTTCTATATTAATTCACAGCGACCCAAGCGCCAAGCTCGAATAGACGCTAACGCTGTTGCTCTTGCGGTAAAACAGCGCCAGCGCCGAGAGGGAACCCGATGAAAACATTATCTAGTCGCTTGATTTCAATGGTGATGCTTTTATATAACTATGAATCAACTAGGCTAAAGATACACCTTGACGCTGTTGTTCACTTAATTTTTCAAATTTACGCAGAGCCATAATTGGAGTGAACACGTTACTGACGATGGCGAGCATCTACCTGTCGCTGAGCACGCACCTGCCCAAGGTGTCATATAACAAGGCCGTCGACGTTTGGCTCGTTGCGTGCATCCTCCTCATCATCGGATCACTGATAGAGTTTGGCATCGCGAACTACCTTTTCCGAAGCAGACTCACTCGCTCCGAATTTTTACAAGCACTGAGTGTCTTCAAGGTGAGAAAAACGGCAGCCAAATGGTCGCATGCCCATTTTTCCCCCTGTGATTCAAAGGGGGGCGAAAGTGGGGGGGGGGGGGGGGGTTGTGCGTACCCTTCATTTAGAAGGGGGAAGAGTGGTTGTTGGAAGTATGGCCATTCATGTTATGCTAGTGGTGGCGTGTTCGTGTGCCACATTACATTCTATTAAATTCATTTATTTATAGCACTAAACTGGTCGCGAATCAATTGTTGGCTGAATGGATAAATAAAGGCACATTACGAACATTTTCTTTGAGTCGTGGTGACGGTCAGCACTACCGACCTCTTTATTTGTCATCTTCATGTTCTGCCATTGCACTAACAAGCTGCTGTTACGACTTTGACCACTCTTTTTGCTCAAGTATCACGCAGTGCAGTGTAGTATTACTATAATTAACTAGCAAAACTTTTACGATGCTGTAGGTCTACATGTATGTGTGCTATTCCGAATTAAAAGGCGCATTTTCTTGTATATTAGGGACTGCCTACCCTTCTCCCATAGTAGAGTATGAAGTACTTTGAATTGTTAAATACTTTTTCTAGGCACAATTGTGTAGATGATAATTGCCACTGTTTGACTTAGCGAGATTTCACGAGAAGCTAAGAGCGGGAAGTATTTACCCTATTCCAAGGGTCAGCCGCACTTGTGGATTTATGTGCAAAACAGAACTTTTGTCAACGACTGCTGAGCCTATAGACCTTAAACAACCATTACTACCCAAGAAAACCTGAAGTTTGTTTTCTTTTTTCGTCATTGGTAGGAAGTATTCGTATTCTTCAGTTCAGCTCACTTTGCACAAGCATGGACGCCTAAATTCTAGTTCTAGGAGTGGTAGATTATGAGCTACGACATCGCATACATGCTTTCCATAAGCTGTGTATACTCGCGAAGTAAAACATATCCTATATGGTACTTCATCAAGAAAATGTTGGCAAGAATAGCATATAGAGTGCAAATTAATGAAAAACTCAATTAGAAAGCAGTCAAGACTGTCTGCTTGAGTGATCTGCATCAGCGGCCGTTCAGGAGGTTGGTGCGTGGCTTAGCGTTAGAAAGTGTATACATAGAGTAGTTGATTGCTCATCTCTGGTACAGTAGAACCTCTCTCAGCTGCCACGTCACTACACTATGCAGGAAAACGGGGAATAGTATACTTTATCGGTTTAAAGCAAATCGCCCGGACTAAAGCTTTTCAGCTGCCGCAGATATTGATAATGAAGTGCTCGTTTGCTTTTACGGCCCACCTGTCTTCACCTTTCGCACACGTTTTGTTGACATTCCAGAAAGACAAGTACCCGAAAGACCCCAGCGGCCTCCCTTTGAACCAGAGGAGGGCCCTCACCGTAGAACGTTACACACGGGCGATGTTGCCGCTGCTGTTCTTAGCACTGAACATTGTCTACTGGTCCGTGTACCTCAGCAGGCCCTTGTGGATGCCGATGGGATGTGAGAATGTAGGGAGTGTAAATAGAATCAAGAGTCACTCAACAGAATCTCTAAAATGAAGCACATTAGAAAAGTGTGTTCTACAAGGGCCACAACATAGTATAATAGGTTGATTATTGAAGGGAAAGTCTAGGTGAGCATCTACTGATTGATAGTGCAGCGCCGGTAAGTGAATGAGAAGTCACGGGTTAGAGCGCACTCTATTGCACTTCGGTCATTTTCATAAGTAAAAGTGGAAGCATCGTAAGCTTGGTCTGGTTCATTTAGAAAACAGTTACCCGCTTTATCCGATTCAATACCTTTATATTGAAAACCGGCTGTTGCTTAATACGATAAATGGTGTGTAGACTCCATAAAATTTCGCAAAGTCATGGCTTTCGGCATCGTGTGCTAATTTCAAGACGGCGTCGTCACCCGCCTTTCACTTCTAGTTAATGGAGGCTTATCAAGCTTCTTATTACAGTAAAAAGTGTTCGTAATGTTCTGAGAAGAAAAGTGTTTACTACAACTGAATTTTGATGTTCTTGTTCGTTCACCACTGAGAAGAAAGTTTATGTCATCTGTCAAGTCGAAGACGCGACGCATGCTAGTTGACAACAAGAAGCACCCCGTTGTTTCCTTTATCAATTTTATGTGCAACGACGGTGTTATAAATTCGCGGTTAACCGTACTGGTCGACACCTGATTACGTTTGACAACGTGGGGCTCGGCACACTGTTGCGAACAAAAATCCTCGAGCAGGACACCTAACCTGCTAAGCTACAGTGGAAGAAACAAGTCATCGTTACTTGAGTGTCGTAGATATGATGCTACTTTAGTTTCATAACCAGATTACTCCATTGGGCTGGTTTTATTAATTTTATGCGTGAATATACGCCGAAGTGAAATTATACCCGTGTTATGAACAACAGAAATAAATAAAAGCCAGGCAAGAACCCTCTAGTAAGAAGTTGCCAGATAGTTATCCGCATTTCTTTATACCAGCATTCTATGGAATTCATGCAAATTTGTTGAATCCAGTTATGTGAAGATCTTTGCGAAGACGTTGTTACAGGTTGGAGTTGTAGCACACTGCTGTAAACTCGCACGTGTGGCTCAGAACAGCAACAAACAGTTCCACATCTCTTCGCGATAAGCCTCAATAGCGTTACGTGTTCGCAGCAGAGCATCAGAGTTATTTGACTCACAACAACTGCTCTCTACTTAACTTTGAATGCCCAACGCTGTAGTGTAGTGCACTTTTATTGTTACATAATGATTTCTGATCCATCTTATCAAGTTGCAAGGAACAAAATAGTATTTCTCAGAACAGCCAGTGTACGCTTGTTCATCGCTACCGCTTATCGATTTAAACTTCAAATCTCAACTGGTAACTTTCTGTGTTACTTGGGAATCTTGACAACACTCTGATATAAACAGAACACAGTTTATTTTGAGCTCTAGAGTGCCTAATAGGGCAGGACGGTACCGGTGGCGTAACCAGGAACAGCCAACCCATTCCCCCCTTCCTACGAATTGTTTTCCGCCAAGTCATTGTGGTGAGTAAGGGGGTTTACTCAATGGGCCCAGGTCATTGGACGCCCTCAAGACAACCTGATAACACGAAGACGTTCTTTATATCGGACGAGAACAAGAACACACACGAAGAAACCTCAAAGAACATCAGGACGATACGAGGTGAAAGAGGGTCTACTGGGAAGTTCCTGTTCACGCGAGAAGAAAGTTTACGTCGTTACGGTCAGCATGCTTCACTCCCGCGACACCAAGTCTACATGACCACACTCACGCGCACCATCGTTGAGGTGACCGTAGCACCGGACAACGTGGCGTTGAGTCGTCGCGGTAGCGTCCATGGTGGGAACACGCCCTCTCGCGTAGCTCACAGGCTCGAGCTTACGTCGATGTCCCGCACCCTGACATCTCCCTGGCATCCAGGTCACGCTCGACCAGGGCGAGCGCCCAGGACAAGGGGGCGGAAGCCCCGACAATCATCGAAGCCGCCCGCGCACGCTCGCTGCACCAGTCTTCGTTCTTCCCCTCTTTCAGTGAATTTCCCGCTCCGATTTCTCCCCTATGGCGCTCTCGTCATGATTATCACATTCTTCCCTCCTCTTCAGAAAAGTTGCACACTTTTTGAATGTCCCGGTTGAAGTAGTTAACACCTTGACACCGTGCAACTTCATGGTGTCGAGGTGTTGAAAAGTATAGGAATGCCTTTAGCTTGGTACCTTTGTTGCCGTTATGCATCCAGTTCGAAGTCCATTGTCGTGTCGCAGTTAAGTTGGGAATCGGTTAACTGGTTTGTATTCCTTCTCCTTTTCTTCCACGTACTAGTGCAAAACCAGAGTACTTTCTTCCTATGTGCTTCTGTGTACCACGGTTGCTTCTCGATGTTCATATAGATGGAGCAGTATTCAATCCAAACATTGGGGTTTGAGCGCCAAGCTACTCATTCTAAAGCACGCCACATCTTTCGGTTGTCCCGAAGTTCATTTGCCTCTGCATGGTACGGAGTACCATGTTTTGGGCTCACAGCGTTCCTAGCTCCACTACTATTCTGGGGGTTCCGGCCCCTCTTGCTCGAATTATGATCATCTCCTGGCTCTATTTTAGGGTTTGTCATTGCCACTGGTTTTTCGTTAAGCTTCGAAGCAAGAGTCTGAGATGTGCATGACGTGCTCTTTCTTTGGCCGAGAGGTTTCAGCTAACGACTGCAGAGACTATGCTGCTCCATACTTCTGTCAACTTCAGTGCCATCGCATGTCTGCTTAACACATTCAGTTGCAGATCGTGTACCCAGAGCTACATCATCACGTTCTCTGACATACACTTTTTCGAGTGTACCTGACAGACTTGTGTCAACATCATGAATAACTATCTCATCCTTGTGAGGATCCATTTGGTCCCCTTCATTAACCTCTTTAAGCGCTACCCTATTTGCAATCTCTCGGATTTTCAAAATAGCTGTGCTGATCTCCGACAACACCTTCTCTCCTTCCTGTCACAAACGCACGCGCTCATTGTCATTTTCGCACATGTACCGCAGTTCAAAATCCATGTATATTATGTTCCTCTTCGAGGTCTTCTTGCTACATTCACTCTAAGTCGGCGAAAGACCACCCGACCTCCTCTCAAATACGAAGCAGTTATTGCAAGTTAACGGGCATCCTGTGCGTGACCAATTTTCGGCTGAAAGATTGTAAGTGCCAATCCTGGCAAGGCTCGCCAACAGTGGTGAGTAAGGGGGTTTACTCAATGCGCCCAGGTCATCGGTCGCACTCTAGACAACTTGATAACACGAAGACGTTCTTTATATTGGACGAGAACGTGAACACACACGAATAAATCTCAAAGAACATCAGGACGCTACGAGGTGAAAGAGGGTCTACTGGGAAGTTCCTGTCCATGCGAGAAGAAAGTCTACGCCGTTACGGTCAGCGTGCTTTATCCCGCGACACCAAGTCTACATGACCACACTCACGCGCACCGTCGTTGCGGTGACCGTAGCACCGGACAACGTGGCGTTGAGTCCGTCGTGGTTGCGTCCATGGTGGGAACACGCCCTCGCGCGTAGCTCACAGGCTCGAGCTTACGTCGGTGTTCCGCACCCTGACATCTCCCTGGCATCCAGATCACGCTCGACCGGGACGAGCGCCCAGGACACGGGGTCGGAAGCCCCGACAATCTTGTCTTGTCTTGTCTTGTCTCCTAGGAGATCTTGGCTCATACCCACATGGGGGATTGGCCACACTGTACCTCATGATAGATCATTTTTTACAACGCTTGCTAAAAAAAATAAAGAGAAATTAGATAGGAACAATAATAATGTTCCTTTGAAAAAACGTGAAAAAATTTCAGAAGAATGCGATAAACCAGAATATATAAAACAAACTAACAAGAATGAGGAAGGGGGAGAAAGAATTGGATATATCTGGCAGTACCACTAGCAGCGTACCCTTACGGTTGCCTGAATGAATTTATGTAGTGCTGACAGAATAGCACTGCGGCCCACACCCAACTGACTGGTTCCAAACGATAATAGGGTGGATGTATTGACTGGCAATCCGAGCATACCAATCGGTCTTTCAAGAATTATTCGGCGCAGTGAGGCGAAGCGGCGGCATGTGAGAAGAAAGTGATCTATTATTTCCGGTTCATTGCAAACTACACATAGGTTAGTTAATGAAAATCTTGATTTGTTGAGATAAAAAATTTAACAGAGGAACTCTACAGCGAAAGCTTGTGAGGGTCACCTCACATTGACGGGAAAGGCATTTTGCGGTGTTCCATGTGAATTGCAAGTGCCGAAATTCTTCAGATTGTAGAAGCGACGTTTCGTTGATTTTTAAGATTAACAGGCGTTTGAATCGTTCGGCAGTAATAAAAGGAAACTGTGGAGCTACTAGCACCACCGGGAAATTTAAAGATGCCGAAGTGAGCGAATCAGCAATTTCATTTAGTTCAATTCCAGCATGCCCGGGGACCCAAATAAACCGAACTTCTGATAAGCTATGCGGTACGAGAGACCAAAATATCCTGAGAAGAGGAGACTTCTTTGCGGACGTGAGATGTGTACATACAGACAAAGCATCCGAAATAATAATAGCTTTTTATTGCTGATAATTTAGTTTTGGAAGAGCCAATGTAATAGCCAGGAATTCTGCGAGATAAATTGGTGTGAAGTCAGGCAATCGGAGCGCAAAAGACCAATTAAGCTGATGAGAAAAAATACCTACTCCAGCCTTCTGAAGATTTTGATTTGCGTCCGTCGAAATTACTACGTATTTAGGAAAATGACTGAGATGGTCTTGAAGAAGGCCCTCCGGAACATGCTTTGTAAGTAACTCGGCATTTTTCGGAAAAATATCATCGAAAATTAGGTCAACTGGCACCGAGCATTGGGTTTGGGGGGTTAAATGCCGGAGGGAAACGTGAAGATTTGATAACAGAGACTCGACGAAATGGCTTGGGGTCTTTGATAACGAAACCACGGGCGCTGAAAGAGAGAAACTGGATGTTTGATGAAAACTGTCTGTGACCAGAAGAGGAGCGCATCGTAAAGTTTTAAAAATGTTTGCACAGTAAGCTGTCGAAGTCTAGCATCAAGTGGAATGATTCTAGCTTCCAAATAAAGTACGCTATTCGCGACACACCTAGGTAGCCCGAGACGCAGCCACAGAGCTTGCCTTTCTAGCAATATAAGAGGTCTTAATTTGTACTCAGAACTTCCAGAAAACAGAACGCAGCCAAACTCCAGAATTGGGCGTAC